ATATACTTTTTTTTTGCTGAAGTAATGTGCTTTATTCAGTTATCTAACATGTAAGAAATACAGAGGTAATTCCTTTACCAAATATTTGATACTTGATGTATATTTTTTCTCTCCCTTCTATAATGTGCTTGTATGGCATAACTATTCCTTATTTATTTATTGTTTTTTGAGACAGAGTCTTGCTCTGTTGCTGAGGCTGGAGTGCAGTGGCACGATCTCGGCTCACTGCAATCTGTCTCCCAAGTCTAAGTGATTCTTCTGCCTCAGTCTCCTGAGTTACTCGAATTACAGGTGTGTGCTACCATGCCAGACTAGTTTTTGTATTTTTAGTAGAGATGGGGTTTCACCCTGTTGAGCAGGCTGGTTTTGAGCTCCTGACCTCAGGTGATCCTCCTGCCTCGGCCTCCTGAAGTGCTAGGATTACAGGTGTGTACCACTGCACCTGGCCGACTGTTCCTTTTTTAAAAAAAATTTTTTTTAGATCTTGTTTTGCTATGGGTACATACTAATTGTAGATATTTATGGGATACATGAAATGTTTTGATACTGACATGCAATGTGTAGTAATCATATCATGCATAATGGGGTATCCATCCCCTCAAGCATTTATCCTTTGTGTCACAAACAATCAAATTATACTCTTCTAGTACTTTTTAAATATAATTAAAGTATTGACTGTAGTCACCCTGTTGTGCTATCAGGTATGAAGTATATTGTAAATGTGGCACAGATACACCATGGAATACTATGCAGCCATAAAAAAGGATGAATTCGTGTCCTTTGTAGGGATATGGATGAATCTGGAAGCCATCATTCTCAGCAAACTGACACAAGAACAGAAAATCAAACACCGCATGTTCTCACTCATAGGTGGGTGTTGAACAATGAGAACACATGGACACAGGGAGGGGAGCATCATACAGGGTCTGTTGGGGGAGACTAGGGGAAGGACAGCAGAGTGTAGGGAGGTTGGGGAGGAATAACATGGGGAGAAATGCCAGATATAGGTGATGGGGGGATGGAGGCAGCAAAACACATTGCCATGTATGTACCCATGCAACAATCCTGCATGTTCTGCACATATACCCCAGAACCTAAAGTGCAATAAAAAAGAAAAAAAAAATATATATATATATAAAGAAATTTCTTTGATGTGCACTACATTGATTGTAAACTCTCAGTTTTTTGTTTTTTATTTATTATTATAGTTTTTTTTTTTTTTTTTTTTTGAGACAGAGTCTTTCCCTGTCCCCCTGGCACGATCATGGCTCACTGCAACCTCCACTTCATGAGTTCAAGTGATTTTCATGCGTTAGCCACCTGAGTAGCTGTGGTTACAGTTATGTGCCACCACACCTGGCTAATTTTTTATTTTTTTACTTTTTTTATTTTTAGTAGAGACAGGGTTTTGCCATGTTGGTCAGGATGGTCTTGAACTCCTGGCCTCAAGTGGTCCACTTCCCTCGGCCTCCGATGGTGTTGGGATTACAGGGTGTGCAGGGTGAGCCACCGTGCCCAGCCAACTTTCAGTTTTTTTAAATCTTAAGGTATCTTCCTTTCTGTTTTGTCAAAAAATATAGTTTTGTGTGGTTTTTTGTTGTTGTTGTTGTTGTTATTCTGAAGGTAAGGCAGTAGAAAAAAATAGTTTGGATCATATGCAGTTATTTATAGATAGTTATTTTTCTTTTTGTTTTCTTTTTGAGACAGGGTTTTGCCATGTTGCCCAGGATGGTCTCAAACTTGTGGGCTCAAGCGATTCACTCTCTTTGGCTTCCCAAAATGCTAGGATTACAGGCATGAGCCACTATACCCAGCCAATAATTACTTTTTTAAAAACCTTCAATAATATTCCTGTGACTTCTGCTACCATGTAGCTATTAAGAAGGCCGCTGTGGAGCCATAAAAACGACGAGTTCCTGTCGTTTGTCGGGACATGGATGAATCTAGAAACCATCATTCTCAGCAAACTGACACAAGAACAGAAAACCAAATGCCATGTGTTTTCACTGATAGGCAGGTGATGAGCGATGAGAACACTTGGGCACAGAGAAAAGAACACTACTCACTGGACTAGGTTGCGGGGTGGAGAGGGGAGGGGAGGGATGGGAGGGCGGGGAGGTTAGGGAGGGATAACACCTAATGTAGGCGAGGGGAGTGAGGGACAGCAAACTACCATGGCATGTATGTACCTGTGCAACAGTTCTGCAGGATGCAGGGTGTGCACATGTACCCCAGAGCCCAAAGTACAATTAAAAAAAAAAAAAAAAAAAAAGAAGGCTGTTATATGTCTAATTTCAGTACTCTGTAGGCAGTCTGTCTTATCTCTCTTTTTTTAATTTATGTTTTTGTTACCTAGGCTCGGGGTGTTTTGATGGTCTGTCTTACCTCTCTAGCTGCATTTTCCTTTTCCTCTTTAGAATTTTGCACATTCATTACATTGAGGATGGGTTTCTTTTTATTTATCTTAGAGTACTTAAAAGTAGGACTTCCTTTATCTGTATATTCATATCTTTAGTTTTGAAAAATTGCCAGCCATTGTCTCTTTAAATACTGATGGTATTAATTCTTACATTAATTCAACTTATGATTTTTCAACTTTATGATGGTGTGAAAATGATACATATTTAGTACACCTCTCAACCTGTGATGGTGTTACATCTGGATAAATGCATTGTAATTTTAAAATACTATAAGTCAAAAATGCACTTTCAACTTATGATAGTTTCCACTTAACATATTTTCAACTCACAGTGTGTTTATCAGGATAATAACTCTGTTGTAAGTCTAAGAGCATCTGTATTGTCTCTCCTCCATTTTCTCTTTTTTAATTCTTCTGAGACTTCACTTATATGCATACTATACTTTCTGTTTTTCCTATTTTTAAGTCTCTTTGTCATATTTTTTTATCTTCTATGTTTGCTATGATGCAGTCTAGGTAATACAAAAATCTGTCTTCTAATTCTTTCTTCTGCATCTAATCATCTATTTAACTTATCCATTGCCTTTTTTTGTTTGTTTTTTGAGACAGGGTCTCGCTGTGTCATGCATGCTGCAGTGCAGTGGCATGATTATGGCTCTCTGCAGCCTCAGACTCCTGGACTCAAGAGATCCTCCCACCTCAGCCTCCCAAGTAGCTGGGACTGCAGACCCACACCACTGTACATGGCTGATTATAAAATTTTTCTGTAGAGACAGGATCTCACTATGTGGCCCAGGCTGGTCTCGAATTCCTGGCCTCAAAGCAATCCTCTTGCCTTGGTCTCCCAAAGTGCTAGGATTACAGGCACGAACCGCTGTTTCTGGCTCCATTGACCTTCTAATTTCAGCAGTTTTTCATTTCCAAAAGTTCTGCTTGGTTTCTTGTTTCTTCGGTTTTTTTTTTTTTTTTTTCGGAGACAGTGTCTTTCTCTGTCACCCAGGCTGGAGTGCAGAGGCACAATCTTAGCTCATTGCAGCCTCTACCCTCAGGATTTAAGCAATTTTCCTGGCTCAGCCTCTGAGTAGCTAGGATAACAGAAATGAACCACTGTGCCCGGCTAATCTTCGTATTTTTAGTAGAGATGGGATTTCACCATGTTGGCCAGGCTGGTCTCTAACTCCTGACCACAAGTGATCCACCTACCTTGGCCTCCCAAAGTGCTGGGATTACAGGTAGGAGCCACCATGCCCAACCTGTTTTTTTTTTTTTTAATATTAAACTTTTGATAGTTTTTATTATTTGCTTATCTCTGTGATTCACTTATTTTTTTAGACATTAAATAATTATATTCAATCTTAGATGTTTCCAATATGGGAAGTCTTTAGGGGCTGTCTAAATCTGATGACTCAATCTCATAGTGGCTTATTTCCTGTGTTTTGGGTACTCTTTGACTGTTAGCTTATATTTAATTGATCTTAATATGAAAGGAAACTGGAGTCTTATTTGGGTTTGTTTTTTTCTAAATAGTAGCTGCATTTTTTTCTTACCAGAAGCCAGGTTACACTCTTCACACAGAACCTTTCAGGTTGTTATCCTTATCTTGGGAGTTTTAAGTTTTCCTGCCCTACAGGTCGCTTGTCCAAACCAGTTTCTTAGCCATAAAACTTACTGTTTTTTGTTTTGTAGGAAGATTTTTTTTTATAGTATCCATTTGCCATATTACCATTAATGGGAGGCTCTTTTTATTTTGAAACCCCTTCTCAACATTCTTTTATTCTCAAGTAATATAGATATACAAATTTAAAAAAAACCAGAAAGTTATAAAATAAAATTGCTTCTACTTCTGTAGCCCAAGGTAACTACAAGTTTTTTGGATTTTTCATTATTGATTTTTTTACTTGATTAGGATATAAGTGATAATTTAAAATCTTAAAGGAGGAGCAATTTAAAGATATTTTGTAGCCATGTATTAAAACGTGAATGATTTTGTAGCTTTACCAAATTGCCCTAATTAAGAACCACTGCCATAGACCTAAATGGCTCAGAGTTATTGGTATACATGTTTCTTTCTTTTCTTTTTTTTAAATTATCTCTTCCTTTTCAAAGCTTGTCAAGCTAATGTTAAGTGGTATGCTTGTCTATTAATGGTAAAAATTGTATATACATAATCTGTTTACACCAGGATATCTATTTAAAAATTAATGCTACAATAGGGCACACCCAACTCATAAAGTTGAAAAACTTTATTTGCATTAAATCTCTGGTAAAGTGATAATTTTAGAAGTATTTGAAAGGTTAGCAGTACCTTGTCACATAAAAGCAATCTTAAAAAGCCAGTACAGAAGTATGATTAAAGATAGAATGAGGGATCTACATAACACTAATTTTTGCCCTGTTTTGAATGTGTTCTGGTGCCTTGGCAAGTTATTTAACAAAAATGTTAATTTTTTAATCTATAGAATGGAAATGATTTTACCTAAATTATATAGGGTACCACAGTAGTGAATATGAGAGGTTTAAGATAAACCGTTCCATAAAAATACTAAGTGCTTTAGTTGATCAGCTATTTAAACTCTTTCAGCTGTTAAATAATAGAAGAAAATGGAATTGAATATGATGTCAGCATGGAACAATCTAATGATTCATTGAGAGCCAACCATAAAGATGGTGAAGAGTCAAAAACCGATGCTCAGGTGTTTGAGGTAGGGGTTCAGCTGGGAACTTTTTTCCATCCTAGGGTAAAACAGTATGCCATTTAACAGCTCTTTATGCTCAAGGGATACCTGTTATATTTAGTGTATTCAAGAATTTTAGGCCAGGTGTGGTGGCTGATGCCTGTAATCCCAGCACTTTGGGAGGCCAAGATGGGCAGATCACCTGAGGTCAGGAGTGCCAGACCAGCCTGGCCAACATGGTGAAACCCTGTCACTACTAAAAATACAAAAATTAGCCGGGCGTTGTGGTGGGTGCCTGTAATCCCAGCTACTCGGGAGGCTGAGGCTGGAGAATCACTTGAACTCAAAAGGCAGAGTGAGCAAAGATTGGGCCATTATACTCTACAAGAGCGAAACTCCATCTCCAAAAAAAAAAAATTTTTTGAATATTTAATTATACACATATTTTATAATACAGAACTTAATGCTTAGATATATCTATAAAAATTTGTATACAAAGAAAAATCTGTAGGTTGAATTATGTTATTTCAGGTTGCATTCCTGTGGACAATTTTATTTTGATAAAATTAAGATAAATATAATAATCAACAATTTTACTTAAGTACTTACTGTATATATCAATTTGTGTGAATTGAGACCTTACAAAAAAGTAAAAACTGAAAATGGATATTTTTGTAACACATCTTTTTTTTTTTTTTTGAATGGTGATACTATATTGTTAGACTGAAGTGATTTTTTTTTCTTTGCAAAAGCATCTAACCTGTATGGGCTTCAGGGATTCTTCCTTTGAACAAAATGATTCTCCTAGAGTTTTGCCGATCACTGCTCCTGAAGTAAATAATTCACTCCCATCACAGAATATACCAGGGACGCTGACTCAGACACAGACACTTTCTGCAGAAAAATTCCACCTAGTCGACCAAAATGAGCAAGCTGTTCAATACGAACTTCAATCATTGGGGGATTCCAGTGCACAAATGGTGAGTATATTTTATAAGTAACCAGTTTTGTGATCTTTAGCCAAATGTATTCGTTTTACTAAATAACCTTAATTTCTTGACACTTTTAACTTACATTGTGTTTATTTCTTTCTTTTTCTTTTTTTAATTGCATTTTAGATTTTGGGGTACATGTGAAGAACATGTAAGATTGTTGCATAGGTACACAAGTAGCAGTGTGGTTTGCTGCCTTCCTCCCCATTACCTTTATGTGACATTTCTCCCCATGTTATCCCTCCCCAATCCCCACCCCCTGCTGTCCCTCCCCTGTTTCCCCCCTACAGACCCCAGCGTGTGATCCTCCCCTCCCTATGTCCACGTGTTCTCATTGTTGAACACCTGCCTATGAGTGAGAACATGCAGTGTTTGATTTTCTGTTCTTGTGTCAGTTTGCTGATAATGATGGTTTCCAGATTCATCCATGTCCCTACAAAGGACATGAACTCATCGTTTTTTATGACTGCATAGTATTCCATGGTGTATATGTGCCACATTTTCCCTGTCCAGTCTATCATCAGTGCGCATTTGGGTTGGTTCCAAGTCTTTGCTATTATAAACAGTGCCTCAATGAACATTCATGTGCATGTATCCTTATAATAGAACAATTTATAATCCTTTGGATATATATCCAGTAATGGGATTGCTGGGTCAAATGGAATTTCTGTTTCTAGGTCCTTGAGGAATCACCACACTGTCTTCCACAATGGTTGAACTAATTTACACTCCCACCAACAGTGTAAAAGTGTTCCTATTTCTCCACATCCTCTCCAGCATCTGTTGTCTCCAGATTTTTTTAATGATGCCATTCTAACTGGTGTGAGATGGTATCTCAGTGTGGTTTTGATTTCCATTTCTCTAATGACCAGTGATGATGAGCATCTTTTCATATGTTTGTTGGCCTCATATATGTCTTCTTTTGTAAAGTGTCTGTTCGTATCCTTCGCCCACTTTTGAATGGGCTTGTTTGTTTTTTTCTTGTAAATCTGTTTTAGTTCTTTGTAGATTCTGGATATCAGCCCTTTGCAGATGGGTAGATTGCAAAAGTTTTTTCCCATTCCTTTGATTGCCAATTCACTCAAATGACTTTCTTTTGCTGTGCAGAAGCTGTGGAGTTTGATTAGGTCCCATTTGTCTATTTTGGCTTTGTTGCCAATGCTTTTGGTGTTTTAATCATGAAGTCCTTGCCTATGCCCGTGTTCAGAATGGTTTTGCCTATATTTTCTTCTAGGGTTTTGATGGTGTTAGGTCTTATGTTTAAGTCTTCAATTCATCTCGAGTTAATTTTAGTGTAAGGTGTCAGGAAGGGGTCCAGTTTCTGCTTTCTGCACATGGCTAGCCAGTTTTCTCAACACCATTTATTAAACAGGGAATCCATTCCCCATTGCTTGTTTTTGTCAGGTTTATCAAAGATCAGATGGTTGTAGGTGTGTGGCATTGCCTCCGAGGCCTCTGTTCTGTTCCATTGGTCTATGTCTCTGTTTTGGTACCAGTACCATGCTGTTTTGATTACTGTAGCCTTATAGTACAGTTTGAAGTCAGGTAGTGTGATGCCTCCAGCTTTGTTCTTCTTGTTTAGAATTGACTTGGCTATGCAAGCTCTCTTTTGGTTCCATATGGAGTTTAAGGTGGTTTTTTTCCAGTTCTGTGAAGAAGGTCATTGGTAGCTTGATGGAGAAAGTGTTGAATCAGTAAATTCCTTTGGGAAGTATGACCATTTTCACGATATTGATTGTTCCTAACCATGAGCATGGAATGTTTATTTATCTGTTTCTGTCCTCTCTGATTTTGTTGAGCAGTGGTTTGTAGTTCTCCTTGAAGAGGTCCTTTACATCCTGTGTTAGTTGTATTTCTAGGTATTTTATTCTCTTTGTAGCAACTGTGAATGGCAGTTCGTTCTTGATTTGGCTCTCTTTAAGTCTGTTATTGGTGTATAGGAATGTTTGTGATTTTTGCACATTGATTTTGTATCCTGAGACTTTGCTGAAGTTGCTTATCAGTTTCAGGAGATATTGGACTGAGACGATGGTGTCTCCTAAATATACAATCATGTCTTCTGCAAAGAGAGACAATTTGACTTCCTCCTTTCCTAATTGAATATCCTTTATTTCTTTTTCTTGCCTGATTGCTCTGGCTAGAACTTCCAATACTATATTGAATAGGAGTGGTGAGAGAGGGCATCCTTGTCTAGTGCCAGATTTCAAAGGGAATGCTTCCAGTTTTTGCCCGTTCAGTATGATATTGGCTGTTGGTTTTTCGTAAATAGCTTTTATTATTTTGAGATACATTCCATCAATACCTAGTTCATTGAGGGTTTTTAGTATAAAGAGCTGTTGAATTTTGTCAAAGGCCTTCTCTGCATCTATTGAGATAATCATGTGGTTTTTGTCTTTGTTTCTGTTTATGTGGTGAATTACGTTTATAGACTTGCTTATGTCGAACCAGCCTCGCATTCCCGGGATAAAGCCTACTTGATCATGATGGATAAGCTTTTTGATGTGCTGTTGCAATCAGTGTGCCAGTATTTTATTGAAGATTTTTGCATCTATGTTCATCATGGATATTGGCCTGAAATTTTTTCTTGTTGAGTCTCTGCCAGCTTTTGGTATCAGGATGATGTTGGTCTCATAAAATAATTTGGGAAGGATTGCCTCTTTTTGGATTGTTTGGAATAGTTTCAGAAGGAATGGTACCAGCTCCTCTTTATATGTCTAGTAGAATTCAGCTGTGAACCCATCTGGACCTGGGCTTGCTTTTTGGTAGGCTATTAATTGCTACCTCAACTTCAGCCCTTGTTATTGGTCTATTCAGGGTTTTGACTTCTTCCTGGTTTAAGCTTGGGAGGATGCAAGTGTCCAGGAGTTTATCCATTTCTTCCAGGTTTACTAGTTTATGTCCATAGAGTTGTTTGTAATAATCTCTGATAATGGTTTGTATTTCTGTGGAATCTATGATGATATCCCCTTTATCATTTTTTATTGCATCTATTTGATTATTCTCTCTTTTCTTTTTTATTATTCTGGCTAGTGGTCTGTCTATTTTGATGATCTTTATGAAAAACCAGCTCCTGGATTTACTGATTTTTTGAAGGTTTTTTTGTGTCTCTATCTCCTTCAGTTCTGCTCTGATCTTAGTTATTTCTTGTCTTCTGCTAGCTTTTGAGATTTTTGATCTTGCTCCTCTAGCTCTTTCAATTTTGATGATAGGGTGTCATTTTAGATCTTTCCTTGCTTCTCATATGGGCATTTATTGCTGTATATTTTCCTCTAGACACTGCTTTAAATGTGTCCCAGAGATTCTGGTATGTTGTGTCTTCATTCTCATTGGTTTCAAAGAACATCTTTATTTCTGCCTTCATTTCATTGTTTATGCAGTCAACATTCAAGAGCGAATTGTTCAGTTTCCATGAAACTGTGTGGTTCTGAGTTAGTTTCTCAATTCTGAGTTCTAACTTGATTGCACTGTGGTCTGAGAGACTGTTATGATTTTCGTTCTTTTGCATTTGCTGAGGAGAGATTTACTTCTAATTATGTGGTCAGTTATATAGTAGGTGTGATGTGGTGCTGAGAAGAATGTATATTCTGTGGATTTGGGATGGAGAGTTCTGTAAATGTCTATTAGGTTTGCTTGGTCCAGACTTGAGTTCAAGTCCTGGATATCCTTGTTTATTTTCTGTCTTGTTGATCTGTCTAATATTGACAATGGGGTGTTAAAGTTTCCCACTATTATTGTGTGGAAGTCTAAGTCTCTTTGTAAGTCATTAAGAACTTGCTTTATGTATGTGGGTGCTCCTGTATTGGGCACATATATATTTAAGATCGTTAGGTCTTTTTGTTGCATTGATCCTTTTACCATTATGTAATGTCCTTCTTTGTCTCTTTTGATCTTTGTTGGTTTAAAGTCTTATTTTATCAGAGACTAGAATTACAACTCCTGCTTTTTTTTTTGCTCTCCATTTGCTTGGTAAATCTGCCTTCATCCCTTTATTTTGAGCCTTTATGTATCCTTGCATGTGAGATGTGTTTCCTGGATTTAGCACACCAATGGGTTTTGGCTTTTTATTCAATTTGCCAGTCTGTGTCTTTTGATTGGGGTGTTTAGCCCATTTACATTTAGGGTTAATATTGTTATGTGTGAATTTGATCCTGCCATTTTGATGTTAGCTGGCTGTTTTGCCCATTAGTTTATGTAGTATCTTCATTGTGTTGATGCTGTTTACCATTTGGTATGTTTTTGGAGTGGCTGTTTCACGTTGTTCCTTTCTATGTTTACTTCTTCTTTCAGGAGCTCTTGTAAAGCAGGCCTGGTGGTGATGAAATCTCTTGATTAATTGCTTGTTCATAAAGGATTTTATTTCTCCTTCGCTTATCTTAGTTTGGCTGGATATGAAATTCTGGATTGAAAATTCTTTTATTTAAAGATGTTGAATATTGGCCCCCCACTCTCTTCTGGCTTGTAGGGTTTCTGCTGAGAGATCCACTATGAGTCTGATGAGCTTCCCTTTGTGGGTAACCCAACTTTTCTCTCTGGCTGCTCTTAGCATTTTCTCCTTCATTTCGACCCTGGTGAATCTGACGATTAGGTGCCTTGGGGTTGCTCCTCTTGAGAAATATCTTTGTCGTGTTCTCTGTATTTCCTGGACTTGAATATTGGCCTGCATTGCTAGTTTGGGGAAGTTTTCCTGGATAATATCCTGAAGAGTACTTTCCAGCTTGGATTCATTCTCTCCGTCACATTCAGGTACACGTATCAAATATAGATTAGGTCTTTGCACATAGTCCCATATTTCTTGGAAACTTTGTTCATTTTTTTTAACCTTTTTTTATGTAATCTTTCCTTCTCGTTTTATTTCATTGAGTTGATCTTCGACCTCTGATATCCTTTCTTCTGCTTTGTCAATTCAGCTATTGAAACTTGTGTATGCTTCATGAAGTTCTCCTGTTGTTTTTCAGTTCCATCAATTCATTTATATTCCTCTCTAAGCT